CTACTTCGAAAAAGAGCAGTGGCGGACAGAAGCGTACACGCTTCGTTGACACTGGAAGTACCAGTATGTTTATTCACAACAATGCTATTTTCTGCCTTCGTACTATACTCAAGGACAACAAATCTTTGCTCTATCCCATCGTTTGCTTTTCAAAATACGAATACCACACTTTCATATTTGCTTCAATAAAACTAGATTCTGTTAATGATGAAAACCCAAAAATGTACAAAGAACAAACTTGTGTGCTACTGTAGTCAAAACGAATCCGATGTGAGGGTTTCGATCATTATTCAAACAAACAGAATTCTTATATGAACTGTTGATAGTGCTATAGCTTTTGTTGTTCAGTTGAATCTGCAATATCCGATCGCACTCCAGACAATGCTTCTGATATTGAAGACGCCGGAGAACAGCAGGAGGTGGGATCTGTATCAAGCAGTCAAGAGGCGCCTCAAGACAGGTGCAGTAATATCTTCTCATAGGTAGGGTAGAAGTCAGTATCAACAACAGTCATCTCTAGACCTATGAATTATCACTAGGATGTTGAAAAAGGTCAAGGCTTACAATAAAAGGGGTTTTATGAAAGTATCCGAGAAGTGTGTTAATAGATTTGATGCAGTCATAGTGGAAGAACGGTACGATACTGTACCATTTGTTATGCTGCTGATTTAGGATGCTTCTGCTCGACGAAGATGGAGCTTCGACGACTCCGGATAATGTGTCTGATGACGATGAAAACGGGCTGAGTATACACGGATCACCAAGCCTTGATGGGTTGGAATCACCGTTCAGCCAAGCACCTAGCCAAGCTCTGCGTGATGGTCACGAGAACGGTAGTTGAAGCAAAAAATGCTGCTGTCATCAAACTTGAGGCGGTTTTTTTGTGATCGGATATAATCAGTACAGATATCGGTGACGCGGGAGCGACGTCTACGGCAGCAGGCTCCGAAGTTGATACCAGTCATCGAGTGCTCCCAACTGGGGTTCCGGTGGCTGTGCGTAAACAGAATGCCGAAGGCCTTGAGGAAAAATTCGGGAAATTCACTGTGCCTACGTCACAGCAGAGTAGAAGTAAGTTTTATGTATGTTTTCCCTCTTTTAAAGAGTGAATTAAGGTTGGAGCCGTATTATAAGTCTTTCTTTTTGCTCAATTTTCAGTGTAAAGTCATCAATTAATTTCTCTGGGATATCATATATAGTGGTACCACTCGGAAATTGTTTGGAAAGACA